TTTTTGGGTGTTGGGAAAACAGGCTATTGCTTAACAGGGGTGGAGAAGAGAGACAAGAGAGTCATGAAATAAGAATGGGGACATCGATTTAGAGGTGGGATCCTGGAGGACCATTGGCCCTCGGGCTCCCTCACCAGCTGGCGGCACGACAGCTCGGGCAGCAGAAGCGAGCATGAAGAGGACGCCTTTGCCCGCCTTGGTACTGCATCCTCCCCCTGCCTCAGTACTGTGTCCACCTGGAAGATCTTGACGAGCTCCACAGAGCTGCCTGGCGGGGCAACTTCCCCGGGGTGGAGCGCGTCCTGGTTCCTGGAGGCTCTGGCGTGGATGAGAGGGACAATAAGAATAACATTCAGCAGATAATTTCCAAATATAAGGAAAAACAGACACCTGAAAATCTTCCTCAAAATAACAATCCAGAATAAGACTTGGAGCTGCCATCGGAGGAAGAGGAAGAAAGACTTAAAGGATGTGAAAATAAGCAGCCACAGGTAGAAGAAGAAATGAAGCAGCACACAAGTAATAACATGGAATTATCTGGAAGCCTACCTGATGGTGCTGCTGCTGGCAGTGATGATGATGGACTTAATCAGCAGTTTCCTGGGAAGGGCAATGAAGTGCATGACAGGGCTGAAAATAAAACATCTATTGAAAAGAACAAGGTCGGGGAATGATCCAAGATGGCTGATCGCTAACATCTCGGGACTGCAGCTCCCAGTGAAAGCGCAGAGAATGAGAGGACACCACACTTTCAGACAAATTTTTGTCACTCACGGAGCAGAAGATTCCCAGTGGAGGAGCCACACGGGTCGCCAGCGTGACTCTTATGGCCGGTGCAGCGGTTTTGCCAGCACCTCGGTGCGGCAGCTTTTGGTGCAGAATAAGCGGGACTGGGTCCCCTTCTGACTGAGGTTTGGAGCTCCGGGAAGGCAGAGTCGCCTATTACAGAGTCAAGAAGGAAGCCAGACTGGAGATTCCCGGGCAGAAAAGCACCATCAGTCTTAACACCACTGTTTTGGCCGGTGCAGTGGGTTGCTCATATTTCGGCCCTGGGAATTAACAACTTGGATGTCCACTCAGAGACCTAATTTGAAAGTTGGTAATTACAAAGACGACAGGTGGATAAATTTACAATGATGGGAAGAAACCAGCGTAAAAAGGCTGAGAATACTCAAAATCAGAATGCCTCTCCCTCTAAAGAGGATCACAGTTCCTCATTAACAAGGGAACAAGGCTTGATAGAGAACGAGTGCATCCCAATAACAGAATCAGGCTTCAGAAGATGGATAATAAGAAACTTCTGTGAGTTAAAAGAACATGCTGTAGCCCAATGTAAAGAAACTAAGAACTTTGAAAAAAGGTTTGACGAAATCCTAATGAGAATAGACAATTTAGAGAGGAATATAAGCGAATTAATGGAACTGAAGAATACAATACAGGAACTCCGAGAAGTATGCGCAGGTTTAAACACTTGAATTGATCAAGCAGAAGAAAGGTTATCAGAGGTCAAATTTCAACTTAATGAAATAAAACGAGAAGACAATATTAGAGAAAAAAGGATAAAAAGGAATGAGCAAAGTCTCCAAGAAATGTGGGACTATGTGAAAAGACTAAATTTACGTTTGATAGGTATACCTGAATGTGACGGAGAGAATGAATCCAAACTGGAAAATATTATTCAGGAAAATTTTCCTAAACTAGCAAAGCAGGACAATATTCAACCCCAGGTAATACAGAGAACACCACAAAGATATTCCTCAAGAAGAGCAACCCCAAGGCACATAATTGTTGGATTCACCAGGGTTGAAATGAAAGAGAAAATAGTAAGGGCAGCCAGAGAGAAAGGTCAGGTTACCCACAAAGGGAAGCCTATCAGACTTACAGCAGATCTCTCAGCAGAAACTCTACAAGCCAGAAGAGAGTGGAGGCCAATATTCAACATCCTTAAAGAACAGAACTTTCAGCCCAGAATTTTATATCCAGCCAAACTAAGCTTCACAACTGAAGGAAAAATAAAATCTTTTATGAACAAGCAAGTACTCAGAGATTTTATTACCAGCAGGCCTACTTTACAAGAGCTTCTGAAAGAAGCATTACACACAGAAAGAAACAACCAGTATTAGCCTTTCTAAAAATATACCAAAAAGTAAAGAGCATCAACATAAAGAAGAATTGACATCGACGAATGGATAAAACAGCCAGTTAACATCAAGTGGCAGTAATTCTAAATTTAAATCGACTAAATCCCCCAATCAAAAGATACAGCCAAAAGCCTGTATGGATGTATGCTACATCCAGACCCATTTCACATGCAAGGATACACAAAGACTCAAAACAAAGGGATGGAGAAAGATTTACCAACCAAATGGAGAACAAAAATAAATAAATAAAAAGCAGGAATTGCAATTCTCGTATCTGATAAAATAGATTTTAAAGCAACAAAAATATAGTGGTAAAAGGATCAATGCAACAATAAGAGCTAACGATCCTAACACCCACATACATAGAGACTTAGACTCAATGAGACAGAAAATTAATAAGCATATCCAGGACTCAAACTCAGATCTGGAACAAGTAAACTTAATAAATATTTACAGAGTTCTCCACTTTAAATATACAAAATATACATTCTTGTCAATACCACATCACACCTACTCATAGGTTTAAATGAAATATTGATGGGCCATTATTAATACCCATTTTTTTAGAATAAAGCAACATTTCCATTCTCCCTCTTTTTCTTCCTCTTTCTTCCTCTCCTTCACTCCTTTTTTGTTTCTTTCCTTCTCTCAAAAAAAAAAAAAAAATCAACTTGTAGACCTCTAGATCCAGGTCGGCAATGTCTCTCTCACTGCCTGATTTCCTTCCTTCCCTTCTCCCCCTCCCTCCCTTCCTTCCTCCCTCCCTCCCTTCCTTCCTCCCTCCCTCCCTTCCTCCTTTCCTCCCTTCCTGCCTTCCTCCCTTCCTGCCTTCCTCCATTCCTGCCTTCCTAAAAAAAAAAGAAAAAAAAGAAAAGAACAAGGTCAAAAACCAAATACATTCTGGGGCTGACTTTGCTGACTCAATGCAACCATCTGAAACAGACTCAGGATGCGAGTTGTCTCACTTATGAGAATATTTTGTTGCTGATTGAACTTAAAATGTGTAAAGATTCTGTTAGCCTATCAAGAATTGAGGATGCATTTCATTTATATGAACACTTACTGGAATTTAAGAATAATGACTGTGGCCGGGCGCGGTTGCTCAAGCCTATAATCCCAGCACTTTGGGAGGCCGAGGTGGGTGGATCACGAGGTCAGGAGAACGAGACCATTCTGGTCAACATGGTGAAACCCCGTCTCTACTAAAAATACAAAAAAAATTAGCTGGGCATGGTGGCGCGTGCCTGTAGTCCCAGCTACTCAGGAGGCTGAGGCAGGAGAATTGCCTGAACCCAGGAGGCAGAGGTTGCGGTGAACCAAGATCACACCATTGCACTCCAACCTGGGGAACAAGAGCAAAACTCTGTCTCAAAAAAAAAAGAATAATGACTTCGAATGACTTACAGCAGAAATTAAACAAATGGGAAATATGGTTAGTGTACTACAAAAAAAGCTATCTGAAACAAAAGAGACAAAATTACAGTTAGAGCATCAGAAGATCGATGCTAGAGCTAGAACTGTCTAGCTCTAACTAGAGCTGCACAGTTTGAGACTTGCCTTAATACAAGAAAAAGAGAAGAAAATGCCGAAATGTTGTGTAATAAATATAGTGAATAGTTAAGAATAAAAGAAGAGGAATGTAGGGAAAAGGCTGACATGACACAACTACTTAAATGGACTCTGAGAAAACTCATTATGGAATTGAGATTGGTCAAGCAGCAGTGAAAGGATGCCCAGCAGCAACTTTCCGAAGAACAAAATGCCAGAATATTACAAGATCAGATTCTGACTAAAGAAAAGGAGCTAGAAATGGCTCAAAAGAAAATGAATTCTGAGGACAAAATGAAGGCTATGTCTGACCTACAAACTAGGAATGAGATTCTTTCTGAAAAAGTTTCTAACGCTGAAAATGAAATCAACAGCCTACAAATTCAGCTCCATAATGCAAGAGATGCTGTTGGAGAACAGATTTTGATTTTGGAATGTGTGCAAAGAGACCTCGGCCAAACACAGTGTCAGAAGAAAGAAATTGAATAAATGCACCAAACTCAACAAAGAAAACTGAAGAAATACATAGCAAAGCAGGAATCTGTAGAAGAGAAATTATTTCAATTACAAAATGAAAATACGTTGCTTCGACAGCAACTGGATGATGCTCACAGGAAAGTGAACAGACAAGACAATCAGTTCTCTCCATAACCAGTTTCAGGCTCTTGCCAGTGATACTCAATCTGAGAAGAAAAGCAGAGTCTTCTGCTACAAGAGAATGAGGAATTGCTGATGAATGTAATTATTTTTGAAAAAGAATGGATTAATGTGAGAAAGAGAAAGCAGGAAGAAAAGTAACTATTAAGAAAGATAAATATTTTTCAACCTTCCTAAAAGAAAATGTAAAGTAATATTTGATTATGGCTAAATGTTTTATCTAGTTGAATATAAAATATATAGATCATAAATGTATTTGTTGTTAAAACTGAAAGATACTTTGAGTAAAGAAATTGTGTCACTTATGAAATTTTAAGTTCAGTTACAGTGTTAATAGGTTAACTTTAATAGGTTAATAAATTAATACTTATAATGTTGTCTTATGCTGCTGAAATGATCATTGCAATGCCTTTATATGGCTATGTTTGAAGACCATGGTGAAGCAGATAAACAGAAATGCTTATACTCGACATGAGTATTTTGAAGTTAAGATTCAGTTAGGAAGGTTACTTTGACCATTAATTCTAGATTTTCCAGGTGAACTGAAGTATACTGCTGTACTTCAGTATACATTTCCACAATACTTTTCCTTCAGTAGTTTTGCAATGTATTTAAGTTGGTATAATTTTATTTTTATTTATATCAATTTGACTTAAATCTGAGATGATTTCAGTCTCAAATTACTTGTTATGACCTCTCAATTCTTTAAAGGCATTTACTTTTTAATCATAATTTGGGGCAGATGTGAATTTCAGCAAAGCTATGTTAGATGTAATCGTACCACTGGTATTTATAATTTCTTTGAATGTTTTTACAAACAGTTTGCTCATAATTTTCATTTCAAGGCTCACTGCCTATCATTCGGATATAACTTTGACCAGTACAAAGTAACTGTGTTTATCTGTGATTTATTTGTTTGGCATTGAGTCCCCATTTTTAAACTAATGAGAGGTGGCAGGATTCATGTATAGCGAGAATGGACTGAGTAGGGGAGACACTTGTAGAAGCTGAGGTCAGGAGGGAGGTAGAGGCCAGGTTACCCAGGCCTCTACTCAAGGCCATTGGAATTTTACTTGTATTCTGAGATAGGAATCTTTTGGAAGGATCTGAGCAGGCAACTGAATATGCAAGGGACTCTGAAGTTGATTGGAGCTTCTAATAAAAAAAGAGGGAAAAACATTTCACAGTGTGGGATGTACCACCAGCAGCCCCACCCGATTTCTTTTTGAGACTTCAGTAGGTTGTTAAGCATTGCAGATGTTTCAGGGATGAGTGAATAATGGGCTGAATCTATTGTTTAAGTTAACAGAAAACTGATTTGGCAGAAAGCACCTTCTGTGTCCTTAACTGAATTCAGTAATAAACAAGAATGTGTGCATACGAGGAAAAAAAAAAAAAAAAAGAATGGGGACATCAAAAACAAAGTCATGATTACTTTGCTGGTGTCTTACAGAACTTCTCCCCTTTGAAACCTTAGTAACATTTTTTTCCTCTTTAAGCAGAAGCAGTTTCCAAATATTACTTGGATAATGGTGCCCTCTTCTGGGGTAACTGATGTGACTCTGAAACCCTCTCCTACCACTTGGTTCAAAACATCTAGAAAGTAACTGACTAAAGAAACAATGGGACCAAAGGTTAAGCACTGAAAACATCATTTAAAGGTTTGAATTAGGAACTAGATACTTGCATAAATATACATAAATGTGCTCAAAGATGTCTCCTTTCCAATGCTGTCAAAACCTCAAGCTAATGTAGGCACCTCTGTACCTCATTTCCATGGTGCTGTTATGTCAGTGGATCCAATTTTGTGTGCTGTCAGCATTACTCTCCTCACTTTACTAGCCCGATTTTAAAATTGACTTGGTTTAGGTCCCATGGCAATAGGAAGAATACCCTCCTCTTTCCCTCCTATTCTCCTTGCCTTTACTTTCTGCTTTTCCTTTTCCACATTCATTATGTGCCCCCACTGTGTCCTAAATCAGTTAACTACCCCTTAAACTATTTCCATGTCACAGCATTTAAAAATGATGGTTCATGACAAAGTTGCTGGAGATAAAGAAAAACGGTTCAATTCCTCTTGTAACCTAAGATTGATGTGCAGATGCAAAAAGGTTATTTGATGGCTTTTAACTTCAACTGTCTAACTTCGGAGTAAAAATAATGTAGCCCTGTAGTTCTAAAAAGATTAGAGAGAGGCAAGTCTGGAAATAGTCATCTTTTTTTTTATATTAATGGTCAGTTTAAATAAGCTAACGCTAAGGGCAAGGGAAATCTTTATAGGACCTTGTAACAAGGTATAGCAGATGAAGCATCCAACTCTTAAAGTTTTGTAAAAGAAATTGTATCAGTGACTCTGGCAAAATGTTTGGAAAATAAAGATGTTCTACAAAGATTATATATTGAATTATTGTGCATTTTAATTATTCATGCACAGTATGCTTCCCCCAACCCCAAATCTCATCATCAGACACAATCTCTTGAGATTTACAGAGCGAACTATGAAGAAAGTTCTCCATTCCTGCATCCCATTCCCAAGTTTTCTAGTTGAGGCAAAATGATATCTCCAGAGAACACACGTGTAATGTTGTACACATATTTTTTTCAGCTAAGTCACTCCTTGGTCAAATTACTGACATCAGTTTATACTTGTCCTTTCCACCTGACACTGACACAGACAGCAGCCAGAGATTTGGTTCAGCAAATTTAGGGCTCAGAAAGGCAGAGTTTGTAGCGCTGGGAGTCATAGGCCATTCTAAAACACTAGTATACTTGTTAGTCACTTGAATAGGGAGATTTAAACGGTCTACTCCTTCGTTTTTTCAGACCTGTTCTTAGGACCTCTGACATACAAATGAACGCCAAAGAGTGTCCAGGAGCTCAACTTTTACTTCATCTGTTATTAACCTTCAATCGCAATAACATCTGTTCCTTTTATCCCAATTTTACGTGCGACATTTTTAGCCATATCTACACTGTTTTTATGCACATCGTCATACCCTGTTGTAGGGATATAAAGACCTTACTGTGGTAGAATTGGGAGTGGACTGAGGGATTAGGACAAAAGGATGTAGAAAACTGCAGATCTAGAGATGCATAGGTATTCTCATAACCTAGGAAGAGAGGTGCATTTCTGTCATCAATAGATGAACACTCCTTGTGTTTGTAAGTATTGAATCCATAAAGTTATATAAAAACATATAGCCCTTGCCTTCAGGCCAAGCCATACTGATGCAGAAGGCTTGAAGTAATCACAGATTTAATTTGTGGTTCCAGCTGTTCAGGACCAATGCCCAAACTCCACGACCTGCAATAATTTGTAATTTTGCTAAGACAGTTTGCTAAGACTGGTGTGCCAGACATTATCAAGTGGTTTGTGAGAATAGCCCTGTGTCTCCATCGCGTAAAGTAGCTGGATCGAAAGGATCATGAAGAGATAAAGAAATGGCTCTGAGAAGCCAACTAGCGACGGTGATAGTAAGCAAAGGTATACAAACACCAAGGAAGAAGTTCCCCTTTGTATTGTCAAAGGTTTCAGTTTTGTGTAAGGTTGTGATTCACGGGCAGCTAATCCCCATCGGTAAAATTAAATCCTTTTTTATTCACTGCAAATAGATAATCTGTCGAAGACACTTTGGCTTTTCTCGCTAGCAGAAAATGTGAGGCTTCTTCAGGTTTTTCCTATTCCTTGTTTCATGGGCGCATCTTCCCCCAAACACTGCAAAACTCAAAAGTTTTCAGATTGATGTAGCAGAGAAAGCAGTGATCTCGGCTTTAGGAGCTAAATTCTCTAGTTCTGATAGTGCCACTAACAGACTGTGTGACTTCAGACAAGTACATTCCTTTCTCCCGTTTCGTTTCCTCTAGGTCAACAGAGCCATGAGAAGGATCACAATGAACCACGGAGCAACTTCATGATTAAAACCTAAGACTTCAGGGACGGACGTTTGTCCGCTCCCGGCGACACCTCTGGCCCATATGGCCCACCCCACACCGCGCAAAGCCCCCTCCACCGACGCCAGGCCTGTGGCGTCGCGCTAAGCCGTTGGTCTTTAACGCCTCCCCCGCAATGGGCGGGGCGCAGGGCTTCAGCTTCCGGCGGCAAATGGTGAGGCGGCGCGTGGCGTTGCCCCCTGGCCTCAGTACTGGTCTGCTTAAGCACCCATCCGCCCGCCGCTCGAGGGGCCCTGTCCACCGCCGTTGAAGGGCTTCCCAGCCCTAGCAGTGCATACTGGGAGGCTCCCAAGAGGCTCCGCGGGGCCGAGGAGACCAATTAGGTGTGGGGGAGGGGAAGAGAACCGAACTATTTATGCTAATTAGCGCGTGCTTCCTTTGTGGAGATTGGCCAGGATTTTACTCTAGTAACCAATCACTTAAGAACAAGGGTGGGCCAGTCGAGATCTCTCGCATTCATTGGTTGAGAGGCTTAGGCGCAATGGAAGGACTTAAAGCAAGAGTATCTGGGATTATTTTTCCCCGCCGTGAGGTGCGTGTCCCGGAAATGACGCACGGCCAAGGCCGGGCGGCCGCCCTGCCCCCGCTTCCTTTCACGTTGTTGCTGCCCGTAGGTGGTTGTGGTCACTGTGCCCGGAGGGAGGCGGCGGTGGCCAGTAATGCCTGGGAAACTCCTCTGGGGGGACATTATGGAGCTGGAAGCACCCTTGGAGGAGTCCGAGAGCCAGAAGAAGGAGAGGCAAAAGGTGCGCTGAGCATGGGCCGCGCCTCCTTTTGGGCTGCGCCGGCTTGGGCGGGGAGGGGAACTGTCTGTCCCTGATGATGGCCTGTCAGAACCGGTCCGGAGCATCCGAGGGCCTCCCTTCGCGCCGCCCTCGGCCCTCTGAGGTCGCTCAGGGACCGTTTCCACCTCCACACTCCCGACCTGGAGAAAGATGGCCCTGGGCTTTGGGCCACCCCCAGCATGGCCCCTCAGCCCTTCCCGTTGGCGCCTGAATCTCAGAGATGGGCTGACTCAAGCTCCCATCACCGTGGAATCTGTTCTCTCCTTCCTTAAGCAGCGACGCCTGTCATTTTGTTCTCATTGTCCCTCTTAGAAGATGATTAAGAAAAAAATGATTGCCTTGAATATGTGTTGCTTCTCTGTCACCCTGTCCTCTGTGCAGGAATCCTGGGGAAAGCGATCTTAGGTTTACAAATCTCAATAGTCTATAGAGGGTTAAGGAAAAGTGTCACAGTGAGCCTTGCCAGATTTGTCAGTGATGGAGATCGTGTGGGTTGCATTATTAATAGCCTTTACTGTCAGTATTTTCATTCAATCCGCAGGTATTTATTGAACCTAATTTGTACCATACTCTTTGCTGAGCACCAAGAAGCTTAAACTAAATAAGTAAAGAAATGGTCCCTGCCCTCAAGGAGCCTGTAGAGGAGGAGTTATAGAGTCTTTACTCCTCCCACCCCCTTGCCCTCAAAAAAAAAAAAAAAAAAAAAAAAAAAGGAAAAGGAAAAAAACATCCTGAAACACTCAGGGGAGCGTTTTCAACACAAGGTGCTGAAAAATGCACAGGTAAAATTTTTACTGTAGACATTTGACCTGGAAAAAAGAAATCAGCTGAAGAGGCTAAGGTGGCAGTATTCGAAGGCTGACATTCAACAAAAGAATGAGATTTACTTTGTATAGCCTTAGAAAGCAAAATCTACCCCTCTGACCTTATCACTAAGGTAAACTTGCCATTCCAGCTAATCACTTTTCTTTTATTGTGGTAAAATATACATAACGTTTATCATTTTAACCGTTTTTAAGTACATCGTTCTGTGATATTAAGTATATTTACATCATTTTGCAGCTGTCACCACCATCCATCTCCAGAACTTTTCATTTTCCCAGACTCAAACTCTGTGCCCATTGAACACTCCTCATTCTTGCCTCCTTCCACTCCCAGCAACCACCATTTTACTCTTTGTGCATTTGGCTACTGAATGTACCTAGAGTGTAAGCAGAAGACCAAGCAGTTATTTTTAAAAAGGCTCCTTTTGAAATTCTTGTCTTTTGTATCCAAATCCTATCCACCTGTCAAGGTCTAGTTTATGTCTTTTCTAACAACTCCAGTGTGTAGTGGTCTTATTGCTCTTTGAAATCTTGGTTCAGTGGCTGTCTTTATTATTCGATTGACATTCATTATTCACTTCTTTGTAAAATTAGTTCATTTTTTCTGTATGTATCCCATGTATTTCCCAAAAGTTTTTGAGGAAAATGTCCACATTTTTGTCCATCCTTATTTTTCACTATATTCTTGTAAATTGATGACTTTCACATTGTAAATTCTCCAGAAATACTTGTTGACTGTCATTTAACTATGAAAGATAACCAGAGATTTGGAAATAGATTGGAATACCAACTAAAAGAAATAGAGCATTAGAATACTGGTCTGGTGGCTAGCCGCAGTGGTTCATGCCTGTAATCTCAGCACTTTGGGGCGATTGCTTGAGCCCAGGAGTCTGAGTAGAGTTTTGTAGAGACTTTCTCTCTACAAAAAAATGAAAAAATTAGCTGGGCCTGTGGCTCACACCTGTAATCCCAGCACTTTGGGAGGCTGAGGCAGGCGGATCACCTGAGGTCAGGAGTTCAAGACCAGCCTGGCCAACATGGTGAAATGCTGTCTCTACTAAAAATACAAAAATTAGCTGGGCATGGTGGCAGGCACCTGTAATCCCAGCTACCTGGGGTCCTAAGGCAGAATAATTGCTTGAGCCTGGGAGGTGGAAGTTGCAGTGAGCTGAAATCATGCCATTGCACTCCAGCCTGGGAGACAAGAGTTTCACTCTTGTCTCGAAAAAAAAACCAAAAAACAAACTAAAAAATTAGCCAGGCATGGTAGTGAGGCTACAGTGAACTGTGACTGAGCCATTGCACTCCAGCCTGGGAGATGGAGTAAGACCCTGTCTCAAAAAAAACAAAATAAAATGAATAGTGGTCTGGTATTGAGACGAAGATAACTTTGCTTTGGATGTGCTGAGATATGGAGCTTGTCCTTAGATTCTTAGAATTGGAATGTAGGCGAGGAAGAGAGTCTAGAAGTACGTGTTGAGCCCTTAGTACTTATAGTAATAAGTGAACATAGAGAACAGATACTCAAGGAGCATCTACTGGAGGAGGAAGGAGAGAAACCATTGAAGAAGATAGGTAGTAGAGGTAAGAAGAATAGAAGTAAGAAGGGAATAAAAAGTGTAACTGAAACCAAGGAAATGGAGAGTGTCAAGCATTGTGGGTCCAAAGTCGAATAACGTATTAATTATCGTGAGATGTTACTGGGCTTGGACCGAGAAGCCTCACTTTGCCTTGCTTCAACTTCTCCCTGAAGTGCAGGACCCAGGAGCAATTCAACCCCCAAGGCTGACTCTATAAATAATCATGTTTTTCTGTAGAACCTATTGGTTTGGAAAGATGTGGGCTAGTGCAGTCAACTGCAGATCAGGTGATGTAATGTGTAACTGCAAAGCATTTTCACACATTGTTCAATTCTTACAGCAATTCCAATTTTATGGATGAGGAAATTGTATGTGAAAGAACTCTAAAAGTTGTGTAAGTTATGGTGAACCTTTTGGTGGTGGTAGTTTTTACTGTCACTAATCACTCTCTATTTTGAACATTTGATCAAGTAATTATTTTTTTGAGAGTGGTTGGGATTACAGGCGTGTGCCACCATGTCTGCCTAATTTTTGTGTTTTTAGTAGAGACAGGGTTTCTCCCTGTTGGTTGGGTTGGCCTCATACTCCTGACCTCAGGTCATCTCCCTGCCTCGGCCTCCCAAAGTGCTGGGATTATAGGTGTGAGCCACTGCGGCTAGCCACCAGACTGAAGTTCTAAATTCCCAAATCATTTCTTATGTTCTGTAAATATCACAACACTGGCCACTAGTTTGACATTTTAAAACTGATGTTGCAGACTAGTGCTTTTTAATTTTTAAAAATTCTATTAACTAAATTTAAAAAGTAAAACAAAACAAAAAACTCCAGGGTTACTGTCCTTCCATGGAAGTATAACAATTGGATTTTTATATTAATTATATGGTTTTGTTTTGTTTTCCTTTAACCTGTGAATTATCAAAGCGCAGGGAGGAAGCATAATGTGAAAAGAGAATGGGCAGGCAGTGTTAGATTCAATTTCTAGTACTTACAGTTGCAGGAAATCCCACATGTAGATCTTTGGCAATTTCCTTAATCTATTAGAACTTGTTTCCGGCTGGGCGTGGTGGCTCATGCCTATAATCCCAGCAGTTTGGGAGGCCTAGGCGGGTGGATCACGAGGTCAAGAGATTGAGACCATCCTGGTCAACAAGGTGAAACCCCCGTCTCTACTAAAAATACAAAAATTAGCTGGGCATGGTGGTGCACACCTGTAGTCCCAGCTGCTCGGGAGGCTGAGGCAGGAGAATTGCTTGAACCCAGAAGGCAGAGGTTGCGGTGAGCCAAGATCGTGCCATTGCAGTCCAGTCTGGGTAACAACAGCGAAACTCCGTCTCAAGAAAAAAAAAAAAAAGAACTTCTGTTTCCTTGTGTATAAAATGGCAAAGGTGGCCGGGCACGGTGGCTCATGCCTGTAATCCCAGCACTTTGGGAGGCCAAGGCAGGTGGATCACCTCAGGTCAATAATTTGAGACCAGTCTGGCCAACAGGGTGAAACCTTGTTTCTACTAAAAATACAAAAGTTAGCTGGGCGTGGTGTTGTATGCCTGTAGTCCCAGCTCCTGGGGAGGCTGAGGCAGGAGAATCGCTTGAACCTGGGAGGTGCAAGTTGCTGTGAGCCAAGATTGCACCCCTGTACTCCAGCCTGGGTGACAGAGCAAGACTCCATCTCAAAAGTAAATAAATAAATAAAATGGCAAAGGTAATACAGGTTCACTATCCCTTATCCAAAATCCTTGGAACTAGTTGTGTTTTAGAATTGAGAATTCGGGGATTTTTAGAAGAGTAACATCCCAGTAGGGTTTGGGGCCCAAAACCTGTAATCAAACACCTTAATATTAAATATATTAAGTTGAATAGTTATACTAGTGGGATAAATAAAGACTAAAGAGCCTCACAGTAGTTAAAGTTGAATTTTGCCATCAAATGAGTTCAGGTAAGGTTTTGCCTCCAAATAAGTTACAAAAAAACTTTCGGTTTTCAGAGCTTTATGGATATCGCAATTTCGGATAAGGGATTATGGACCTGTACTTCCCTTATAGGGTTGTTATGAAGATTTAAACAAGATAAGCTGAAAACACATTACACAATGCTGGGTAGGTATTCAACAAGTATTAATTTTTTTCTCTTGGAAATGTTGGAAGTTTTTGTTTGTTTAGTAATTTATAATTCTGGGGTTGTCTTTTCCTGAGAAGAAAATGTTTTAATTTTCCTTAAATCTTATGTTGGGATTAGAGAGGGGATAGAGGCCGAGTCTTGAGAATGCTAGGAATGGGATGAGAAAGATAGCAACAGGTGACGCTTAGAGCTTGGCACCAGTAACCAGTATGGATTTCTACCTGGTAGGTTTTCAAAATAACTGTAGGTTGAGATGAACTGGTGGGAGAGTCATGCTCTAACTTCTCTAGAGTCTTAAAAGGAAACCTCTGACTGTCTTGTCCCTGCTTCTTTGTTTGTTCACAGAGTGACAGAAGGAAGTCAAGACACCATTATGATTCAGATGAGAAATCAGAAACAAGAGAAAATGGTGTTACAGATGACCTGGATGCTCCCAAGGCTAAAAAAACTAAAATGAAAGAGAAGCTAAATGGAGACACTGAAGAAGGATTTAACAGACTTTCAGATGAATTCTCTAAATCTCATAAGTCAAGAAGAAAAGATCTACCAAATGGAGATATTGATGAATATGAAAAAAAGTCAAAGCGAGTATCATCCTTAGATAGTTCTACTCATAAATCAAGTGATAATAAACTAGAGGAGGTATGGATGCTTTTTATTTTACATTTGACACTATCCTTGAAATACAGGTAGATTTGATTTTTTTAAGGCTAATTAGAATTGATTCTATAACATTTCTTGCTTACTGTATAGTATTCTCAGTTGGACTAGAGAGTCTGACCAGGTGAGCCTTTTTTCCTTTGGCCCTTGTTTATTTCATTGTATGGCCTTTCTCTTGGGACAAGGTGGGATCAATGGTCAAATTTAAACCTTTCCTGTGCATTTGGGTTCCTAAAATTATTCTGAATTGCTCAATGGTCACCTATTTGCATTTCTTTCTTTCTTTTTTTTTTTTTGAGTCAGAGTCTTGCTCTGTCACCCAGGCTAGAGTGCAGTGGCACAATTTTGGCTCATGGCAATCTCCTCCTCCTGGGTTCAATTCAAGTGATTCTCCTGCCTCAGCCTCCTAAGTAGCTGGAATTACAGGCACTCGCCACCACACCTGACTAATTTCTATGTTTTTAGTAGAGACAGGGTTTCACCATGTTGGCCAGGCTGGTCTGAAACTCCTGACCAAAGATGATCTGCCTACCTCGGCCTCCCAAAGTGCTGTGATTACAGACGTGAGCTACTGCACCTGGCTGATAATAATTCTTTATATTCTTTAAATGTAATAATTGCTAATATTCATATACATTTGAGCTTAATGCATAATCTTTGGGGAGCATTGGGAGAAGATGTTGAATCCTTATGAGTATTTTTTTCTTATTTGTGAATTTGCTGTTTGGCAAGAAGCACAAATGTTTGTTGATCTAAATAAGGTCCTATAAATCTGTATTGCTAGCAGTGGAATTTATGGGTTGCTTCTTGCTCCGTTGAGATTTTGCCTGGTAAAATCTGTATTATAATAGGTTTGTTTATTATTTTGTTTAGATCACATGAGAGTTTAGGAATTCTGCTTAAAGGAATTTATCCTAAGGAGATGACCAAGAGGTGTGCAAAGCTATATGAATAAGTACTTTTATCACAGCAATATTGTTGATAATAGCAAAATATTTAAACATCCCAAATGTCCGATAGTAGACAGCTGGTTTACATAAAACATACTATAACTGTGTAATAGAATACCGCTATCCCAAAGGGTAAACAATAGAAAAGGTAGTCATTTATCTTGTTAAAAGAAAAAAATAGGCCAGGTGTGGTGGCTCATGCCTGTAATCCCAGCACTTAGGGTGGCTGAGGTGGGTGGATCATTTGTGGTCAGGAGTTCAAGACCAGCCTGACCAACATGATGAAACCCCATCTCTACTAAATACAAAAAATTAGCTGGACGTGATGGTGCATGCCTGTAGTCCCAGCAACTTGGAAGGCTGAGGCAAGAGAATCGCTTGAACCTGGGAAGCGGAGGCTGCAGTGAGCCGAGATCGCAGTTTGCACTCCAGCCTGGGCAACAAGAGCAAAAGTCTGTCTCAAAAAAAGGAAAAAAAAAAAGATTATAAAATGGTATATATAATGCGATTTTATTTCTGTTCTAAAATTTTTATGTGCATAGATTGAGGATTGGAGGAGTATGTTTCAAGTGTTGCTTTAGCTGAGTGAATTTTAAATTTTTTAATTTGTTTGGTTTTTTTTTTTGTAGTTTCTTTCTTTTTTTTTTTTTTTTTTTTTAGACAGCGTCTTGCTCTGTTGCTGGGCTGGAGTGCAGTAGTGCAATCTCGGCTCACTGCAACCTCTGCCTCCCTGATTCAAGTGATTCTCCTGCTTCAGCCTCCCAAGTAGCTGGGACTACAGGCACGTGCCACCATGCCGTTAGTTTTTATATTTTCAGTAGAGCCGATATTTCACCGTGTTGGCCAGGATGGTCTTGATCTCTTGACCTTGTGTTCTGCCCTACTCAGCCTCCCAAAGTGCTGGGATTACAGGTGTGAGTCACCACGCCGGGTTTCTTTCTTTTCTTTTCTTTTTGAGAAAGGGTCTCACTCTGTTGCCTAGAATGGAGTGCAATGGTATGATCATGGCTCACTGCAGCCTCATCCTCCCTGGGCTCAGGTGATCCTCTCACCTCAGCCTCCCAAGTAGGTGGGACTATAGGTACATACCACCACAGCCAGCTAATTTGTGTATTTTTAGGAGAGATGGTGTTTCACTATGTTGCCCAGACTGGTCTTGAACTCCTGGGCTCAAGTGATCTACTAGCCTTGGCTTCCCAGAGTTCTGGGATTACAGACATAAGCTACTGGGCTCGACCTGTTTCAAAAGTTTCTACAGTGACAATATATTATATTATTTATTTAGTTTGTTTTTTATAGAGCTAGGGTCTCACTGTGTTGCCCAGGCTAGTCTTGAACTCCTGGGCTTAAGTGATCCTACCACCTTGGCCTCCCAAAGTGCTGAGATTACGGGCATGAGCCATTGCATCTGGCCAACAGTGTATTATTTTTGTAATTTTTTTTTCAGACAGAGTCTTGCTGTCACCCATGCTAGAGTGCAGTGGTACGATCTCCACTCACTACAACCTCCACCTTCTGAGTTCATATAATTCTCCTGCCTCAGCCTCCCAAGTAGCTGAGATTACAGCCACCCACCATGACTCCCAGCTACTTTTTGTATTTTACATTTCTCATCGTGTAATTTCTTTTAGCTTAGTTTATAGGCTTATGTTAATCTTTATAATTTTGTCTACATCTGTAAGTATGATTTAGATTAACAAATAGCCTTTTTGGCTGGGCATGGTGGCTAATGCTTATAATCCCAGCAGTTTTGGAGGCCAAGGCAGGAGGATTGCTCTCTCTCTCTCTTTTTTTTTTTGAGACAGAGTTTTGCTCTTGTTACCCAGGCTGGAATGCAATGGCGCAATCTCTGCTCACTGCAACCTCCGCCTCCTGGGTTCAAGCAATTCTCCCGCCTCAGCCTCCCGAGTAGCTGGGACTACAGGCGCATGCCACCACGCCCAGCTAATTTTTGTATTTTTAGTAGAGACGGTATTTCACCTTGTTGACCAGGATGGTCTCGATCTCTTGACCTCATGATCCACCAGTCTCAGCCTCCCAAAGTGCTGGGATTATAGGTGTGAGCCACCACGCCCGGCCTCTCTCTTTTTTTTTTTTTAAATGAGATGGAATTTCACTCTTGTTGCCCAGGCTGGAGTGCAATAGTGTGATCTTGGCTTACCACAACCTCCGCCTCCCAGGTTCAAGCGATTCTCCTGCCTCAGCCTTCTGAGTAGCTGGGATTACAGGCATGTGCCACCCTGCTCAGCTAATTTGTTGTATTTTTAGTAGGTTTCTCCATGTTGGTCAGGCTGGTCTCCAACTCCTGACCTCAGGTAATGCGCCTGCCTTGGTCTCCCAAAGTGCTGGGGTTATAGGTGTGAACCACTGTGCCCGGCCAGGAGGTTCTCTTAAGGCCAGGAGTTTGAGACCAGCCTGGGTAACGTAGTGAGACCAGTCTGGGTAACATATCTTGTCTCTACAAAAGATTTAAAACACTAGGTGAGCATGGTGGCATGCACCTGTGGTCCCACCTGCTTGGGAGGCTGAGGTGGAAAGGATTTCAGCCCAGAGGTTGAGGTGACAGTAAGCTATCACTGAGGTGACAGTAAGCTATGGTGTCACTGCACTCCAGCCTGGGCAACAGAGTGGGACCCTGTCTGAAAAAAAAAGGCCTGGTGCGGTAGCTCATGCCTGTAATCCTAGCACTTTAGAGGCCAAGACTGAGGCCAGTGGATCACCTGAGGTCAGGAGTTCACGACCAGTCTGTCCAACATGGTAAAACCTCATCTCTACTAAAATACAAAAATTAGTTGGGCATGATGGTGGGTGCCTGTAATCCTAGCTACTTGGAAGACTGAGATAGGAGAATCGCTTGAACCTAGGAGACAGTGGTTGCAGTGAGCCGAGATCATGCCACTGCCCTTCAGCCTGGGTGACAGAGCAAGATTCCGTCTAAAAGAGTGTGCCATTATTACTATTTTTTGATACAGAGTCTTACTCTGTCGCCAGGCTGGAGTACAGTGGCACGATCTTGGCTCACTGCAACCTCTGCTTCCCAGGTTCAAGGCATTCTCCTGTCTCAACCTCCTGAGTAGCTAATGCGCACCACCACACCCAGCTAATTTTTGTATTTTTAGTAGAGACAAGGTTTTACCATGTTGGCCAGGCTGGTCTCAAACTCCTGACCTTGTGATCTGCCCACCTCAGTCTCCCAAAGTGCTGAGATTATAGGCTTGAGCCACTGCGCCCGGCCAGTGTCCCACTAATTTTCCTTGTAAGTTAATTTAAGTTAATCTGTACAGTTTTTGCAAGTACTAACTAAAGTTGATTTGTTTGTTTAGCAAAATTAAAAATGGTAAATGAGGAAGAGTTGAATATAAATTATATTATTTAGGACATTGATTTCATTTTTACAGACCTTAACACGTGAACAGAAAGAAGGAGCCTTCTCCAATTTCCCTATTTCTGAAGAGACTATAAAGCTTCTGAAAGGTATGCAGTTTTGTTTGTTTGTTGGTCTGTTTTTGCTTTTTTGTTTGTTTGTTTGAGACGGAGTCTCGCTCTGTCACCCAAGCTGGAGTACAGTGGCACAATCTTGGCTCACTGCAACCTCTGCCTCCCAGGTTCAAGGAATTCTGCTGCCTCAGCCTCCTGAGTAGCTGGATTATAGGCACATTATAGGCACGTGTCACCACGCCCAGCTAATTTTTGTATTTTTAGTAGAGACAGGGTTTCACCATATTGGCCAGGTTAGTCTTAAACTCCTGACCTTGTGATGATCCACCTGCCTCGGCCTCCCAAAGTGCTGGGATTACAGGCATGAGCCACTGTGCTCAGCCTATTGTCATTTTCACTCAAATGAATGTATTTCTTCCTAATGCTAGTCTTAAATGTTTTAATGGAATCTCATTTTACAGGTCGAGGGGTAACATACCTCTTTCCTATTCAAGTTAAGACCTTTGGTCCTGTATATGAAGGAAAAGATTTAATAGCTCAAGCACGGACAGGAACAGGAAAGACATTCTCTTTTGCCATTCCCTTGATTGAAAGACTACAAAGAAATCAAGAAACAATTAAAAAAAGCCGATCACCAAAGGTAATCATTATAGGGAGTAAGAGCTTTAAATGTTAACGTAACAGAAAGAGTTATACTAGTCTTAAGTTACTAGTACTGCCAAGATAGAAAAGTAGAGCTGTGGCATAAAGCAAAAATATGTTATTTTTCACAAAAAGAAATCTCAAGAGAAGTTAAAAGTGAAGTACTTATTCCATATGAATGTGATGTGCATGGATCCATAGATGTCTTTGATAATTTTATGTATTATAAAGCTAGTAAATCTTATTTACAGTTTATATATTTAGTTGACCCTTTTCTTTTTTTTTTTTGAGACAGGGTTTCACTCCTGTTGACCAGGCTGGAGTGCAGTGGTGCAATCTTGGCTCACTGCAACCTCCGCCTCCGGGTTCAAGTGAATCTCCTGGCTCAGCTTCCCAACTAGCTGGGTTTACAGCTATTATACCCACTATCATGCCCAGCTAATTTTTGTATTTTCAGTAGAGACAGCGTTTCACTATGTTGGCCAAGCTGGTCTTGAACTCCTGACCTCAGGTGATCCACCTGCCTTGGCCTCCCAAAGTGCTGGGATTACAGGCATGAGCCACCCCACCCAGCCTAGTTGACCCTTCTCTTTTTTCTGTCCTGACCTTTGCTTTTAAACAAATGAATGTTCTAAAGAGGCGTTCATTTATTTGTTATTTGGTAAATGTTCAATATCATTTATTTCAGTGTTGACTTTTTTTCCCTTTAGTATAGAAAGCTACATGAATTTTCATGTCATCCTTGTGCAGGGGTCATGCTAATCTCTTTGACATTCCAATTTTAGTGTATGTGCTGCTGAAGTGAGCATACACAGATGGACTTTTTAATAAGAGTATTATAGAAATTATATTGCTAGTTTATATATTATTGGAGTACTAGACATCTGTCTTATTTTATAAATGTAAAATCAACCAACAGAGGAGACTAGTAAAATGTAAACCTAAAATTTGACCTAAAAAGCAAAGCTGTGTACACTTAAGGTGTATAAAAATGAAGAAAAATATCATCATAAGATGAACAGCTGTATGACTAAAAGTAATTTGTTCTTTGTAAGCCTTCTGAGTGGTATTATAAGAGCAAATTAACATACATAAATATAATTAAATCGTAATCGTCTTAGATCAGCTATGCTGACTTACAGGATAAATGGATAAATCTTTTTGGAGGGTTACATTTTTGGGGTGAAATTAGGAAAAGATTGAAATAGGACATAATCTCAACACTGCTTTTTTTATTTTTATTTTTTAAGAGACAGGGTCTTACCCTTTTGCCCAGCATGGAGTACAGCAGGGTGACCATGGCTCACTGTAACCACGAACTCCTGGGCTCAAGCAATTCTCTCTTCCTCTCAGTCTCTCCAGTAGGTAGGACCACAGGCAGGTGCCACCATATTTGGTTAATTTTTAAATTTTTTGTAGAGTTGGGGTCACACTATGTTGCCCAGGCTGGTTTTAAATTTCTGGCCTCAAGCAATCCTTCCACCTGGCCTTCCAGGGTGTTGGGATTATAGGTATTAACCATCATGCCTGGCCACAAAGCTGTCTTAAAAATCTTTTGTATGAGACAGATATTAACTGGGATTCCAGCTCTGCCATTTCTAGCTGTTTGATTTTGGGCAAGACTTTACTTCTCTGAGGCACAAGTCTCTCATCTATGAAAATGGTGTAATAATGCCACCCAGGGGGTTTTACAAAAATCAAATTAGATAATTCCTGTAAAGCATTAGTTCCTAGCACATAGTGAACATTCATTCATTTAACAAATATTTTTGAGTTCCTTGTACTGTACCAGGCACTGTTTGAAGTGTTAGGAATATAGTAACCCAAACTGACATAAATCCCTGCCTTCGTGGAGCTTACATTTTATTGGGTGAGATAGACAATCAGCAAATAAGTAAAATATCATTATCTTAGGTGATATCAGGGCGGAGAAGAAATGATAAGGGCAGGGAGATATGAAAGGAGGCTTGAGAACCTCACTGAAGACACCTGAAGGAAGGGAGGAGGATATAATAAATATATGCCAGTGTTCTTATTTGCTATTTGTGCTGTGTCTTTAAGTATTTACGACATTCATGTTGAGATTCCTGGTTTTAAATGCACCTAAAAAAAGTCTTCTCGATTTTAACTTACGTAAGACTTTAGAAAAGTATCTTTTTGTTTTTTAAACCTCTTGTTCAGGTACTCGTTTTGGCTCCAACAAGGGAACTGGCAAATCAAGTAGCCAAAGACTTCAAAGATATAACTAGGAAACTCAGTGTGGCGTGTTTTTATGGTGGAACATCATATCAAAGCCAAAGTGAGTAAATATGTATGAAAGAACTGCAAAGATATATTTGATACTTAAATTTAAAGAAATAATGTGAAAGTGTGATTTTCACATATTGGTGGCATTTCTCTCTTCTCACAGTTAATCATATTCGAAATGGTATTGACATCTTGGTTGGAACCCCTGGTCGTATCAAAGATCATCTGCAGAGTGGCCGGTTGGATCTTTCTAAACTGCGCCATGTTGTACTCGATGAAGTGGATCAAATGTTAGATTTAGGTTTTGCTGAACAAGTTGAAGATATTATTCATGAATCCTACAAAACGGGTATATCCTAATTCAAAATAAGCACATTAGCAATTACTCTTCCATCTTAAACAAGTTTTTATTTAATAATTTTTATTTCAGTCTCCCCAGTGTTCTAACAAAGTTCTAACTGTCTTCTAGTGTCCCCCTGCGATTCATATTGACTAGAAAAGAATAGTGCTGAGATAATTTGTTCTAACAAAACTAAAATAATTTGGTATCTGTTCTGTCTCTGAAAAAACTATGATAGCGTCCTTTTAACTATTTTCTTAGCTTCTTATGCTTTTTTCTATTTTTTTTTTATAGTCAGTAGTTTTACTAACTCATTGATTTCTTTGTTCATTGTTCCTTCTTAAATTCTCCCCTTCTTTCTGGGTTCAGTTCTCTTCATAATTGTCCCCCATTTTTGCAAGTTGAAATTTTTAATAATTGCAATTAATTCTGTGTGTTAAAAATTCACCCCAAGTTTTGAATTTTTTATTATTTTTTGAAGCTCGGGGAGGATTTTTAAGAGCTGACTACATCGTGGGAAATTAAGAAAACATTTGAATTCTTTTTGTTTATTTAAGATTCTGAAGACAATCCTCAGACTTTACTTTTTTCTGCAACTTGCCCACAGTGGGTATACAAAGTTGCAAAAAAATACATGAAATCCAGATATGAACAGGTTGACCTTGTTGGAAAAATGACTCAAAAGGCTGCAACCACTGTGGAAGTAAGTAGCTTTCTAGCATGATAGATTTTAGCTTTTAGTTGGTATTTACTTTTGACGTCTGTTGAAGCTAAACCTAAGTTTTGGATTCTTATTCAGGCCTAATCTCGGTTTTCTGCTCTTAGTCAATAAGATACCTACATATTTTTGCAGCCTGAGACTGAGTAGCAGAATAGAATAAATAGGGCTGGGGGTAGGGGAGCACATGAATAGGAAAGTTCTAATAGGAAACATGCAAGCAGGCATAGAGATAGATTTGAAATATTTCTTTCTTTCTCTCTAAAGCAGCTCAAAAAAAAAAAAAACCCCAAAACAGCAAAGTATTTACAACGTGACAAGGAGATTCATATTGACTAGAAAAGAATAGTGCTGAGATAATTTGTGAAAGCTGAGGTGAAAAATGTATGATCCTCATCCCATTTCCCTATACCAAAAAAATTTCTGAAAGATTTAAAAAATTAAGCTGTAAAATAACTTAAAGCAGGTGTAGGTGAATGAAGAGTTTTTTGATTTCAGGAAAGGGAATGCTTTTCTATTTTTTATTTTTTTAGAGATGGGGTTTACCATGTTGATCAGGCTGGTCTCAAACTCCTGACCTTGTGATCCGCTTGCCTTGGCCTCCCAAAGTACTGGGATTAGAGGCGTGAGCTACCACGCTCTGCCTGGGAATGCTTTTCTAACACACAAGTTGGGCTGGGCATGGTGGCTCACGCCTGTAATTCCAGCACTTTGAGAGGCAAAGGTGGGCAGATCACTTGAGGTTAGGAGTTTGAGACCAGCCTGGCCAACATAATGAAACCCTGTCTCTACTAAAAATAGAAAAATTAGCCAGCCATCAGGCCGGTTCCCTGTAGTCCCAGCTATTTGGAAGGCTGAGGCATGAGAATTCCTTGAACCTGAGAGGTGGAGGTTGCAGTAAGCTGAAGTTACGCCACTTGCACTCCAGCCTGGGTGACAGAGGGAGACCCTCTGTCATGTCCCTTCCCAATCAGTATCCTCAGTTCAGAGACAACCACTGTTCTGATTTTCTTCCACAATAGATTGGTATTGCCTATTCTAGAACTTCATATAAATGGAATGGTACTATATGTGATCATTTTCTGTCTTTATTTACTCAGTATATTTTTTAAGGTTCATATTGTTCCTTGTATACCAGTAACTGGTTTCTTTTAATTGCTGAATGGTGTTCTGTTTGAATATACTGCAGTTTGTTTATTCTTTCATCAAATTGTTTATTGATGGCCCTTTGTCTATATTGTTCGTAAGTGTGGCTGAGGAGAGTCTTTGTCTTACAGTCTCCCAGGAAGGCTAATTCTTGACCAGATAGAAAAAATATAAAGAGAAATATTTTTAAATAATTTTAATGAAACAATATGATATTTTCTTTCTTCAAAGCATTTGGCCATCCAGTGTCATTGGTCTCAGAGGCCCGCAGTTATTGGAGATGTCCTTCAAGTCTACAGTGGGTCTGAAGGGAGGGCTATTATTTTCTGTGAGACCAAGAAGAATGTAACTGAAATGGCCATGAATCCACACATAAAGCAGGTACGTCTTTTTTTCATGCTTTCTCTAATTGAAATTATGAGGATGAATCACTGAACAAAAATCATATTGTCCTTTGTGGACCAGATTTGGTAAGTCATTCTCAAAATTGAGTTGTAAAGCTGGGTGCAGTGTCTCACACCTGTAATCCTGTGACCTGATAAGTCAGGATAGAATTTTATCAGTTTTGTTTGTTTGTCTTGAGACAGGGTCTCCTTTTTATGTCCAGGCTGGAGTGCAGTGGCACAATCATGGTTCACTGCATTCTTGACTTCTGGGCTCAGGTGATTCTCCCATCTCAGCCTCCTAAGTAGCTGGGACTACAGGTGCATGCCACAATGCCCAGCTAATTTTGTGCATATTTTATAGAGATGAAATTTCACCATGTAGCCCAGGCTGGGCTTGAATTCTTGGGCTCAAGCAATCTGCTCCCCCTCAGCCCTTCCTTGGCCTGCTGAAGTACTGGGATTACAGATGTGAGCCACCACACCTGACCTCTATCAAGTTTTATCAGTTTTTTTAAGTCTTTGAAAATGTGATCTGGAGATCATAAAGGTTGAAACAAAATGAATTTCTGAGTAAAAGAGGGTAATATTTTAGTGTTGTGTTATAAAACTACAAATTTTTATTAAATTAATGAATCAGAATACTAAATCTATGTGTCTTTTTCTTTCTTAAAAAAATACCTTTTGGTTGGGTGTAGTGGCTCACACCTGTAGTCCCAGCACTTTGGGAGGCCAAGGCCGGTGGATCACCTGAGGTCAGGAGTTCAATACCAGCCAGGCCAACATGATGAAACCCCACCTCTACTAAAATTACAAACATTAGACGGGGGTGGTGGTGGGTACGTGTAATCCCAGCTACTCAGGGGACTGAGGCAGGAGAATTGCTTAACCCAGGAGGCAGAGGTTGCAATGAGCAGAGATGGTGCCACTACTGTCCAGTCTGGGCGACACACTGCGACTCCATCTCAAAAAACAAACAAACAAACAAAAAACCTTTTATAGAAAATTTCAAACATGTACAAAAGTTGATAGAATCGTGTAATGAACCCCTATGTATTCATCCTCCAGTTTCAATAATTATTTTATCTATATGCTAACCTACCTCCTCTTTCAGAATTATTTTGATGCAAACCCTAGATACCATATTATTATATCCATAAATGTTTGGGTATGTATCTCTAAAAGAAAAAAATTTTCAAAAAAAAAAACAACAAACAATATCATTATCACATCTAAAAAATTAACTAATAATTAGAAATATTAATTCATTTCACATTATCAGTTGTCTTACAAATGCATATTTTCTTTTATTGTTGGTTTTCCTGAATCTGGGTCCAAATAAGATTCTTACATTAGGCCGGGCGCAGTGTCTCACGCCTATAATCCCAGCACTTTGGGAGGCCGAGGCGGGTGGATCACGAGGGTAAGAGATTGAGACCATCCTGGTCAACAAGGTGAAACCCCGTCTCTACTAAAAATACAAAAATTAGCTGGGCATGGTGGTGCATGCCTGTAGTCCCAGCTACTTGGGAGGCTGAGGCCGGAGAATCGCTTGAACTCAGAAGGTGGAGGTTGCGGTGAGCCGAGATCGTGCCATTGCACTCCAGCCTGGGTAACAACAGCGAAACTCCGTCTCAAAAAAAAAAAAAAGATTCTTACATTGTGTGATTTTATTAAGTAGCTTTTAATATGTGGATTACTCCTTTATCTGTTTTTTTTTTTTGCAGCTTTTTTTAAGAAACTCAGTTGTCATAAATCTAGAGTATTGCTTCCCCATGATGTCATTTAACATGTTCCTCTCTTCTATATTTTCTGAATATTCAGGTTTGTTTGTTTAGGTGAACTACTTCATAGGTGGTGTACTTCCAGCAGGAGGTATATATGTCTAGTTCTTTTTGTGATGTTAACGTCCACCGATAATCAGTCCTTATGTCAGTGTCTCTCCAGTCATTTTTGTTGTTTATGACTTGTTATTGAGTAGATTCCTGAGAAAAGGGCTTATGGAAACAATATTGCCTATTGATAATACCTGGTTTGTGACATTACACCTGAAAATTATTTTAGCTGTATATGAAATTCTTGGTTCACATTTTCTTTCCTTCATTGTCTTAAATGTGTTACTTTACTGTTTTTGGAATAAAGCATCGCTATAAAAAGATGCCAGTCTGATCTTTTTTCCGTATATATTATTACAAAATCTTTTTTGTAAGTGATTTTCTTTCAAAATCAGTAGTTTTACTAAAATATATTTTGGTGGTGTTCTTTGTCAGTTTTTCTGGGTACACAGTGTGCACTTTCAGTTTGTGGTTTCATATGCATTTTTTTAAAATTTCAGCAAAATTTTCTTGAATGACAATTTTTTAGCATTTGGTTTTCCAATTGCTTTGGTTTTCTTCTTTAAGAAGTCTTGTACATATTTTGGCTCTCCTTTTTGACTCTCCCTGGTCACTTTATATCAAATCTTTTTTTTTTTAATTTCTTTCACTTATTATACATTAAGCCTTTTTCATCTTTTTCTTTATTCAGTTTCAAAATTTCTCTCTTTTTAAGAGACAGGGTCTTGCTGTGTTGCCCACATGGGAGCACAGTGGCTGTTCACACATGTAATCATGGCACTTTATAGCTTTGAACTCATGTAGCTGGGACTGTAGGCATGCACTACTACTACACATGCCTCAAAATTTCCCATTTTTAAGAAATATGTTGGTTTAGTCTTTTGCTCTTTCTAATATAGTCTTCATTTGTGAAAAGTTATCTTTTATTTCTGCTTCTTTCATGAGTCATTTTATCTCATTGAAAGACTGAAAAGTTTTTCTTAATTTGATTTTTGTTCTTTAACATAGCATTAAATTTTTTTCTTCTAGCAGGCATGGTGGCTCACACCTGTAATCTTAGTACTCTGGGAGGCCAAGTCTGGAAGATTGCTTGAGCCCAGAGTTCAAGACAAGCCTGGGCGGCAACAAAGCGAAACTTCATTTCTGTATATATATATAAAAAATAAAATAGCCAGATGTGGTGGTATGTGCCTGTAGTCCCAGCTACTTAGGAGGCTGAGGTGGGAGAACTTCATAAGTCCAGGAGTTAGAGGTTACAGTGAACTATGATCGTGACACTGTACTCCATCCTGGGTGACAGAGTATGACTCTCTCTTTCTTTTTTGAGATGGAGTCTCTATTGCCCAGGCTGGAGTGCAGTGGTGCAATTTCAGCTCACTGCAACCTCCACTTCCTGGGTTCAAGCAATTCTCTTGCCTCAGCCTCCTGAGTAGCTGAGACTACAGGTGTGTGCCAACACACCCTGCTAGTTTTTGTATTTTTAGTAGAGATGGTGTTTCACCATATTGGCCAGGCTGGTCTCGAACTCCTGACCTTGTGATCCACCTGCCTCGGCCTCCCAAAGTGCTGGGATTACAGGTATGAGCCACCACACCCGGCGGAGTATGAACTTTTCTCTTAAAAATCTGTGTGTGTGTGTGTGTGTGTGTGTGTGTGTGTGTGTAATTTAAAAAACTTTTATATATTATTTATATATTTGATATGTATAATATACTTTAAATTTTTTTTTTCTGAGATGGGGTCTCTGGCGGGAATGCAGTGGCATGATCTTGGCTCACTGCAACCATCACCTCCAGGTTCAAGTGATCCTCTCAGCCTTGAAGTACCTGAGACCACAGGTGCGTGCTACCATGCCTGGCTAAGTTTTTATTTTTGTAGAGATGAGATCTCTAAGTTGCCCAGGCTGCTTTCAATCCTGATCTCAAGTGATCTGCTTGCCTCTGCCTCCCAAAGTGCTGGGATTATAGATGAGAGCCACTGTGCCCAGCCAATATATGATATATATGTATATTTCATTTTATTTTTTTTTTTTGAGACACAGTTTCACTCTGTCACCCAGGCTGGAGTGCAGTGGTATGATCTTGGCTCACTGCAGCCTCCTCATCTTAGGTTCAAGCGATTATCATGTCTCAGCCTCTAGAGTAGCTGGGATTACAGGTGTGTACCACTGTACCTGGCTAAGTTTTATATTTTTAGTAGAGATGGGGTTTCGCCATGTTGGCCAGGCTGGTCTCCAGCTGCTGACCTCAAGTGATCCACTTGCCTTGGCTTCCCTAATTGTGGGGATTATAGGTGTGAGCCACTGTACCCAGCCGTAGTTTTATATCTTAATAAGCTTCTTTGAGCTCATTCAAAATGCTGTACTTTTATTTGTTTTGTGGATAAGCATTTCTAGATCACTTTATTTGTGGAGATATCCTGCCTTTTTTTTTTTTTTGAAACAGTCTCGCTCTGTGGCCCAGGCTGGAGTGCAGTGGTGCAATGTCAGCTCACTTCAACCTCTGCCCCCAGGTTCAAGCAGTTCTCCTGTGTCAGCCTCCAGAGTAGCTGGGATTATAGGCAGGCAACACCATGCTCGGCTAATTTTCATATTTTTAGTAGAGATGGGGTTTCACCATGTTGGCCAGGCTGGTCTTGAACTCCTGACCTCAAGTGATCTGCCTGCCTACGCCTCCCAAAGTGCTGGGATTACAGGCATGAGCCACCACACCTGCAATATATATATTTTTTTTTAAGAGACAGGTCCTGTCATGTTGCCAGCATTGGAGTGCCTTGGCTATTCACAGATATGGTAATAGCACACTGCAGCCTCTAACTTCTGGCCTTAAGAGATCCTCTCTCATTAGCCTCATGAGTAACTGGGACTACAGGCATGTGACACTGCATCCAGCTTATTTTGCTTATTCTTTTTCCTTCTTAATTACTTTCTGTGAGATTTGACTGTGATCTTTTCCGTTGCTCAATTTTAGATTTAAGTTAAGCTTTTTGAATTTTAGATGGGAAGGCATTAGTGAGAATACTTCTCTGTTGTCACAGCTCTAGAGCTGCTGCTTCTGTTTTTTTTGTTAGTGTTTAAAAATATAGTCTGTAAATTATATCTGAGTAAAGCTGTTAAAAAAAAAAAGGTCTTCTGAGTTCTAGCTGTGTCTTTCCTCACTTTTCA